GAAACAGTGGACGCACAAGGACAGCCTTGGCGCCACCATAGCGGGTTTGATTTTAAATTAATAAAGGAGTTAAAGACCGCTGTAGCACAATACGGAGCCACAGCTCCATATACTACGGCAATTTTAGAATCAGTAGCCGAGAATTGGCTTACGCCTGGGGATTGGCAAACACTAGCCCGAGCGACACTTGCTGGAGGAGACTATCTCCTATGGAAATCAGAATATGTAGAGAACTGCAGGGACATTGCTAAACGCAACGCACAGGTTGATAATGGATGGAATTTGGATATGCTAATAGGAGAAGGAAATTATGCTAATAGCGATGCCCAAATGCAATATGATGCAGGTCTTTTTGCGCAAGTTCAGACAGCAGGCACTCGAGCATGGAGGAAGCTGCCCACCAAGGGCGACATGAGCTCCTCCCTTACTAACATTAAACAAGGACCTGATGAGCCTTTTGCAGATTTTGTTCACCGCTTAATTACTGCAGCAGGCAGAATTTTCGGTAATGCAGACGCCGGCACGGATTTTGTTAAACAATTGGCTTTTGAAAACGCTAATGCCGCCTGTCAAGCCGCTATCAGACCTTATAAGAAAAGGACTGATTTAACTGGCTATATTCGCCTATGCTCTGATATTGGGGCTGCCTATCAACAGGGCCTTGCCATGGCTGCTGCCTTGAAAGGGCATAGTTAGCCAATTCTTGGAAAGATCCGCTAACCAACTCTTGGCATGGCCCAGACCCAGTCCTCATCTGGGGCTGAGGTTCTGTAGGCATTTACTCTAAGAAAATGAAATCTGCCAGATGGCTACCAGAGCGTCTGGTTAAACAGATTGATCAAGTTAAAGGAATAGCAGATAACCATATAGATAACTCCAGGGACGAAAATTCGCCCTGAGAGGCTTTTCCTGTTTTTTTATTTCAGGAATGGACCAGAAGGCTGAAATCTTACTGCCAGGAATACTACTGCATCTTTGCCTCCTTGTGGAAAGGAGGTTTTGAGCCTCCTCCAAACCCTGACGAGCTCCGGAGGGCCTTATTTGGCCCCCTATGCGACTGCCTTGCAGGAATGCTGCTGCTTAAAAGAACTTTTCGATAACCCCCTTTGGAGCGGGCTAAATGGGGTGCTGCCTTATCTTCTCCCTCTGTTGGGCCCCTTACTTGGCCTTTTACTGATTGTGTCACTAGGACCTTTCCTCTTCAATGAGGTGATGGCTTTCAAGTAGCAGATGGATGCCATTAAGATGCAATCTATACAGGTCCACTATTATAGACTTGAAATGGCCGACAGAGAAGCTCACTCTAGCTGTGAGTCAAGCTATGACTATGCCCGAGATGGCAAATAGTCTCAAAAACCTCGTCACCTTGGTGCGCTGGACTGGATAGCCAGAGACAGGCAACTGGAACTCACACGCGTCACCAACCACCACCTAAGACAGGAACAAGGTCTTATGCTGCCTTGCTTTCCAATGACGGGTAAGGACAGGTTGGAACCGTGTGCAAGTTTCCTGACCTAAGACAGGCACAGTCCCCTCAAGGTATTATTTCGGCCTTAAAATTTAATAAAAAAGGGGGACCTGTGGGAGACCGTTTGCATGGCATCCATCTTGTTAAAGTCTGCTCTGCTGTCTCCGGCCCCAGTGCCGTGCCTCTCGGCGGGCCGTGCCTCTCGGCGGGCCGTGCCTCTCGGCGGGCCGTGCCTCTCGGCGGGCCGTGCCTCTCGGCGGGCCGTGCCTCTCGGCGGGCCGTGCCTCTCGGCGGGCCGTGCCTCTCGGCGGGCCGTGCCTCTCGGCGGGCCGTGCCTCTCGGCGGGCCGTGCCTCTCGGCGGGCCGTGCCTCTCGGCGGGCCGTGCCTCTCGGCGGGCCGTGCCTCTCGGCGGGCCGTGCCTCTCGGCGGGCCGTGCCTCTCGGCGGGCCGTGCCTCTCGGCGGGCCGTGCCTCTCGGCGGGCCGTGCCTCTCCGCGGGCCGTGCCTGCATTCCTCTAGATAATTGTTTACTCCATTCTTTGCTTATTTGTTCCACCTGGGGTATTTACTGGAATTGGCTTCAGGTGGGATACTCATTAACTGTTTCACCTGTTTTCCCCCTATATATAATGTGAACTCCCCCTGAATAAACGAGACTTGATCAGAATCCTGTCTTGTCTCCATTTCTCATGTCTCTTGTCCCACCTCATCCTCACTCCCCCTCTAGGGTCCTCGTTGATCGACCTGCGGGCCGGGTCAATTATGTAGTGGCCGTCTTTGTCTCTAGTTATGGTCTTCATTTTGAAATCTATTTTATCAGATAAGAGAATTGCTACCCCAGCTCTTTTTTGCTTTCCATTTGCTTGGAAAATTTTTTTCCATCCCTTCACTTTCAACCTATGTGAGTCTTTTGTTGAGAGGTGGGTCTCTTGTAAACAACATATAGATGAGTCATGCTTTCTTATCCAATCAGCTACTCTGTGTCTCTTTATGGGAGCATTCAATCCATTTACGTTTAAGGTGATTATTGATATGTACTTATTTATTGCCATTTTTGTTTAGTGTGGTTCTATTTTTCTTCCCATTTCTACTGCTAATTACAGCAGTCCTTTTAACATTTCTTGCAGTGCTGGTTTGGTGCTAATGTATTCCCTTAGCCTATTTTTGTCTGGGAAGCTCTTTATTTGATCTTCTATTTTGAATGATAGCCTTGCTGGGTAGAGTAGTCTTGGATCCAGATTCTTGTTTTTCATGACTTTGATTACTTCATGCCATTCCCTTCTGTAGTGTTTCTTGTGAGAAGTCAGCTGAGAGCCTTATGGGGTTCCCTTTGTAGGTAACCTGTTGCTTATCTCTTGCTGCTTTTAGGATTCTCTTTGTCTTTAATTTGTGGCATTTTAATTACTATGTGTCTTGGTGTGGGCCTGTTTGGGTTCTTCTTACTTGGGACTCTCTGTGCTTCTTGAACTTGAATGCCTTCTTCCTTCACCAAATTAGGGAATTTTTCTCTCACTATTTTTTTGAATATATTCTCTATCCCTTGCTCCTTTTCTTCTTCTTCGGGGACTCCTATGATGTGAATATTATTACGTTTCCAGTTGTCCCATAGTTCTCTTAAGCTGTCTTCCTGTTTTTTAATAGTTTTTTCCTTTTGTTTTTCTGATTGGTTGATTTTTTTTTCTACCCTGTCTTCTAATTCACTGATCCGGTCCTCAGCTTCCCCTACTCTGCTTTTTAAACCTTCCAATGTGTTTTTCATTTCTGATATGTCATTTTTTATCTCTTCTTGTTGGTTTTTGATTTCCAATTGGCTTATTTTCAGTGTCTCTATGTCCTTACTCATGCTGTTCAGCTTCCTCAAGATCATGGCTCTGAATTCTAGCTCTGTTAACTTGCCTAATTGCTCCACATTGATCTCATCTTCGGTGGAGGTCTCTTGCTCTTTCATTTGGCTTCTGTTTCTGTGTTTCACCATTTTGGCTATCACTGTGGGCTTTGGAGCCTGTCAAGTTTTCCCTGTGGTTATTGGTGTTCTGCTGTTTGTGGCTCCCTCTCCTGTGTTTAGATGAGCGAGGGAGGACCCACGTTGAACACCACTGTCAAGTCTTACTTTCCTGGTTAAAGTTTCCAGCCCAGGAAAGGTACTTTTATCCTCTAGCTTTTTGCCTGGAGGCTAGCAGTCTAGGTTACTTGATGAGTTTTGGGTTGTCAGTTGATTGAAAAGCTCCCTCAGGTGCTTAGCATAAGGGGCTTTCACGAGGGTGGGGCAGATGCTGGTTGTTAGTGAGCCTCAATTAGCACTTCAGTGGCCCACAGGGTGGGGTTGGATCTCCGAGGGAGGGGCTGCTGCCTCTCTCAGAGCCCTGGGAAGGAGCAATGTGGCCACCGTCCTGAGTGCTCAGCCAAAGCTCTGAGCGCCCTCCAGATCCCGAGTGTCCCGACACAGCTCCAGTCCAGTCCACCCTCCCTCTGCCGGAGCCCATGGTGAGTGGCTGTGGCTGTTTCAGCCTCTGTCCCGGCTGCGCTGTGGGGCTGCCTGGGAGTGTAACCCGAGGGCGCTGCTCCCAGCTGAGGCCGCTGCCGAGCTGCCGACCGTGGGCTCCCAGCCCCGTCTCGCGCCTTCGCAAGCCTACCGGGATGGAGTCAGTGTCCCTGGTTATGTGGTCCTCACAAGCTGCTTTTCTGTTGCTTTTTCCCCGTCAATTTGTCTGTGTTATAGTTGTAATTCCAGTTTGGTTCTGGGAGACGGTCTGTGTAGCTCCGTTCACTCCGCCGCCATTTTTCCTCTCTCAAGTCGCCATTCTTTATTTTTGTCTGTTTTCTGCCAACCTCTCTGAACACCACAGTCATAATGACTAGAAGATGATAAAAATATCCTCTTCCTTTTCTCAAATCTCTGAACAATTTATTCATCCAACTCCTATCTTTGTTTTATAGTCTTTGTGTATGCATATTTTTCTACTGCTAAGTAATTTAAGGCTATCTTCCTTTACAAACTCCATAGCCCTTATACAAAATAGATCCTTTAAAATGTTGGGCAGGCCCTGGCCAGTTTGCCTTAGCGGTTAGAGCATTGGCCTGCAGTCCTGAGAGACCCGGGTTCGGTTCCCACTAAGGGCAGGTACCTCGGTTGCAGTTTGTCCCAGGCCCTGGTTGGGTCATGTGGATGGTAACCACTCGATGTTTCATATCAATATTTCTCTCTTTCTCTCCCTCCCACTCTATCTGAACAAAGTATCAAAAAATGTCCTCGAGTGAGGATAAAAAAAAAATGTTGGGCAGACGTATAGATTTTAAAAGACACACAGTAACTTACTGCAATACATGGAATTTAATTGAATCCTGACCCAAACAAATAAGTTGTTAAAAAATGAGAAAATGAGAAAAAGTTGAATGTTGATATTTGATATTAAGAAACTGTTAAATATAATAAAGACGTGTTTATGTTGTTTAAAAAGAGTGTTAGTGTATCTACGTACCTAAGAAGAGAAGAAATGATATGAAGTCTAAAATCTGCTTCATAGTAGTTGGGAAACAGGTAGGGGTATATCTGAAACAATACCGGCTATGGGTTGAATGGGGTGATGGGCTCTTCTTAATGTTAGGTATTGTTGCTTTAAAATTCACCCCAATTTAGAAGATTAAAAACAATGACAGTATTTACTTTGCTCACAAATCTTCAATTTGGGTAGGGACTGGTGGAGATAGCTGGGATCTATTCCACTTGGCGCCTACAAGGATAGCTCAAAGGTTGAATCAGTTGTATTCCTGGGAGTAGAGATTCTCTCCTCCATAAAAGCAGAAGAAAACAAAGTAGTCAGAAACTGTTAAAAAAAACTTTTAGTCTATATATTGAAATGGCACACTACACACTTGGCAAAAATCAATCCATTATAGCCAACATTAAGTAATACTTACAAAAACTTTTTTTTCTTCTCTACTACCATTTTTTCTGACTTATCTTTATTGTTGAAAGTATTACAGATGCCTCCTCTTTTTTCTTTTTATTACTCTGAATACTTCACTTCTGACACCAAATGTTGCCCCACCCCCCAACCAATTCTCTGGCAACACCTGGGCGTCGTACACCTCAATTCAATTCCAATACTATGTACCTGGAGTTCATGTAAGTTCTCACAGGACTGCCCCCACTTCAGACGCAGTTAATACCTGTCAAAAATTGAGGGTTCCCACAATCACCTCCTCAGATTCAATAATTAACTAGAATAACTCACAGAACTCAGGAAAGCACTTTACTTACTATCACTTACTTATCATAATGGATGTAACTCAGGAAGAGCCAATGGAAGAGGTGCACAGGGCAACGTGTATGGAAAGGGGCACAGAACGTCCACACCTTCTCCAGGGGCAGCACTCTCCCAGCCCCTCAAGGTGTTCACCAATCTGGAAGGTTGAAAATATTAACCAACACATTAGAGAGGAGGAATCACTGAAGCTTAAGAAAGGAAAGGAAGATGGAAAACATCTCTATTTATAGGTGGCATGATCACATAATTGGGAAAACACTAATAATACATCAATGGGGGGAAATTACTAAAAACAGATATTAGTGAAGTGGTAGGCTATAAAATTGTATAAAATCACCCAGCCGTAGTGGCTCAGTGGTTGAGTGTCGATCCATGCACTAAGAGGTCACTGGTTCAATTCAGGGCACATGCCCAGGTTACAGGCTGAGCCCCAGCATGCAGAAGGCAACTGATTGATGTTTCTATCTCTCTCCCTCTCTCTTCCTCTCTCACTAAAATCAATAAAGAAAAAAAATTATAAAATTGTATAAAATGAACAGCTTTCATATTTACAAACAGAAACCAGTTAGAGGATATAAATAGAAACCATGAAATATTCCTGACACAGAAAACTAAAAAGAGCAATATTGTAAGAAAAAAGTATATGAGTATCAAATCTGAATTTGATCAAGCCTCTCCATGTAGGGTTGGCTTCATGGGTTCCATCTGCATAATCCATCACACAGGGCTCTGTGCTCAAAAGGGCCTCCATATTTGGTTTAATGCTAAGATGTCCCTGTCTAGGAATTTGAACAGGGGTCTCATATTTTCATTTTGCAACGTGCCTGCAAACTATGTAGCCAGTCTTTGTCTGCACTTGACTGCCAATTTACAGGAAATAAGTGTGGTGGGTTAGAAACACATCCACAAATTCTTTGATACTGCTCCCTTCAAAAAGATGGAGGCCAATGCCCTCTCCTTGAGTATAGGCTGTACTTTAGGATTGGCTTCTAATAGAATGTGTTGGAAATCATGGTGTGTGACTTCCAAGAATATATCATAAAAGGCACTATGGACTCAGCTTGCTCTAAGTTCACTTGTTCAGGGGGAAGTCAGCTGATGTGGGGAGACTCAAGCAGCTGTGTGGAGAGGTCCATGAGGTGAGAAACTGAGGCCTCCAGCCAACAGCCATGTGGGTGAGCCATCCTGGAGTAAACCTGTCAGCCCCAATCAAGCTTTTAGATCATGGCAGGCCCAGCTCACAGTGTGAATGCAACATCATGGCAGACCCTAAGCCATAACCACTCAGCAAGCCACCCCTGAATTCCTGACCCACAGAAACTGGGTGCAGTCAAGTTAATTACATCTTTAGACTAAGTTTTGAGGCAATTTATTATACAGAGGTAACATGTTAAATGAGAGCACAAAGATACCACTGGCAAAATCGGACTGTGGGAAACTCTACAGGAAAGTAACTTAATGTCTTCAACCCAAAAATGTCAAAGAAGCCTGGTTAGTGTGGCTCAGTGGCTGAGCGTCGACCCATGCATCCAGAGGTTGCAGGTTCGATTCCCGGTCAGGGCACATGCCCAGGTTGTGGATCCGATCCCTAGTGAGAGGCATGCAGGAGGCTGCCAATCGATGTTTCCATCTCTTTCTCCCTCTCCCTTCCTCTCTAAAAATCAATAAACAAAAAACAAAGCAAACGTGTACATTTAAAAAAAGATGTCAAAGAAAAGAATCACACTATGTGATATTTTTTATCTGGATTTAAGCAAGCTAGTCAAAAAGTTATAGGACAATTAAAATCATGTAAATACTGAGTGAATATCTGATATTAAAAAAGTGTTGATTTTTTTTAAGAAAGATGCAACAATGGTAGTATAGTGATGGTTTTTAAAAGTAGTCCTTGACTTCTAGAGATACACTCTAAAATATTTACAGATTAAATGTCTGAAATTTGCTTCAAAATGGCTATGGGACAGAGAAACTTGGTGGGGGGAAGGAAGTTGGGTGATGGATACATGAAAGTTCATTATACTATTCTCTGTTTTCTATAATAAAAAGATTAAAAAGTATATACTTATCAATATAGAGAAACAAATTTCACACTATGACATTTAAAAGTGGGTTTAATAAAACCAAATAATTAAAGCAAGATGAAATCCATAACAATACAAATGTTTGTTTAAAACAAAGCAAATAATTTTTTAAAGTATCAAAACCAAAATCCACACTATACCATTACTAACTACTGCATCTATTTATAGAACTACTCTGGCTTGGAACTGTTAATCTTTGACACATATTATTGGATCCAATATTCTATAACTTCACATGTATTATACCTTTTTTTTTATTCAAATCCTAATCACATTTAGTCACCAGATAGACTCCACCTATTCCGTCATGTTTTAAAAAAGAGTGTGAATTAGTGCCTTATAATGACTCATGACACTTTTATCATACACATAGGAGAGCAGTGAAGAGAAGGTTATGCTAACCATTGGATAATAAAAGAGACGTAAAACAGATGCTATTCCTAGTCTCAGTGAGCTACTGACACTTACCACCTGTTCTGCTTCACTATTAGTGCTATGCATGTGAAAGAAGCCAAGAGACAGAAAAACCATGCAACACTAAACTTTACTGCAACAATGGTACTTTTAATTCCTTCATTAAAAATACACCAGCCCAGCCAGTGTGCTCAGTGGTTAGAGCATCGGCCTGCAGTCCAGAGAGACCCAGGTTCGGTTCCCACTAAGGGCATGTACCTCGGTTGCAGTTTGTCCCCAGCCCTGGGTGGGTCGTGCGGGCAGCAACCATTCGATGTGTCCCTTTCACGTTGAAGTTTCTCTTTCTCTCTCTCCCTCCTACTCTATCTGAACAAAAAAATGGAAAAATGTTCTTGGGGGAGAATTAAAGGGAAAAAAAAAATACACACCAGCCTAGCCAGTGTTGCTCAGTGGCTGAGTGTTGACCCATGCACCAAGAGGTCACTGGTTCAATTCCCAGTCAGAGCAAATGCCAGGGTTACGGGCTTGATTCCTAGTGAGGGGCATGGGTGGAGGCAGCCAATCAATGTGTCTCTCTCATTGATGTTTCTGTCTCCCTCTCCCTCCCCTCTCTAAAAATCAATAAAAACATATTTTTAAATGTTTTAATAAAATACACACCATGCATAGTTCCAATAGAGTTATGTAACGGATATGCAATTGCATGACTGTCTTGGGCTGAGACCAGATGACTAGCTGAGGTTCACAAAGGCATCACCTTCCATTGTCTTCTTTACAGATAGGAGTGGGGTTGTTTGGTTTATGTAAATTTCTATTGGGGGAGGGGAGGAATCAACCCAGAACCACCTCATTATTTCTCATTCTTACCAACTCAGAATGTGTGATATCTTGTGACTTGAACTTGGCTACAGGTATCATTAACATGATAAAGAAAAGGCTTTATCAGGCTACAAAATTGTAGAGGTGGTCTGATTTTAACTAAGACAAAAAATACACTCCTCAAAGTTGTGTATGGATTTTTTTTAAAACCTGAGATATTAAGAAAATATTCTAACATATAGGCTATCATTATTGGGTGGATAATATGATTATCACTCCATCTCCCTTTCTCCTTTTTTTCATATGAGTTTTTAATTTTTTTATCCTCACCTGAGGACATTTTTCCATTTTTTCTTCAGACAGGGCAGGAGGGAGAGAGAGGAAGAGAGAGAGAGAGAGAAACATCGACGTGAAAGGGACACATCGAGTGGCTGCCACCCACACGACCCAACCAGGGCCAGGGACAAACTGCAACCAAAGTACATGCCCTTAGCAGGAACTGAACCCGGGTCCCTCTGGACCTCAGGCCAACACTCTAACCACTGAGCCAAACCGGCCAGGGCTCACCTGAGTTTTAAAATATTTTTTGTTTCAAAATAAAAAACTTAAAATGTTATTATTGTTACTGCTACACGAAAAAATTTTAAAGATTTTTATTAGCATAGGGACAGGTTAATAAATGTCCTTTATTTAAAATTTAAATGTTTTATTCACTAAAACAACTACAAAAGATATGTACTTAAAATCTGTGCCCAAAGTATGTGTTTCAATAAAAAATACAATTCATACTGGCCTCCTCTCAGCATAAATTACTGACACATCGCAAATAAGGCTATTTTTCTACCAATATGTGACAAAAATACTAGGCATAATCAATTCCCTGTCTCATTAAAACTACAGATTTTGATGGACTCCAACAACAAAAAAACAAACCAATTTACTTATTGCAGGGTATTGTGTTTTAATAACCACCTGTCATTTAATAACAACAATCATAAATATAGACGAGGATAAACAGATTCATTTACCTCAAAGAGCAAGACAAGAAATCTCAAGAGTTGCACACAAGAGTATTAAATTCCCCTTAAATATTTAGTTAAAAAATGAAAAAGGAGCCCTGGCTGGTGTGACTCAGCTGGTTAGAGCATCATCCTCTACACGTACACTGAAAGGTCACAGGGTGCGTATGGGAGGCCACTGATTGATATTTTCCTCTCACATCAATGTTTCTCTCTCTCTCCCTCTCCCTTTCTCTCTCTCTAAAAATCAATAAAAATATATCCTCAGGTGATGTATTTTTTTTTAAATGAAAATGGATACAGAGGGAAAAAGTGCCTGTTTGTGAAACTATCATGATTTTTACTATTTGTATGTGTGCCTCATCAGGCTCACCACGTTAAACAGTATTAAAATGGTGTGCACGTAGGGCAGAGCCTAAGGTCACACCACCTAGATGTATCATTTCGGTCAAAAACCGTAACTCACTCACCATTACTTTTAGATTTCTCACTGGCTCCTTGCTATAGGTCATAGAACTCATATTTTATTATAAAATTATCTGAAAGATATATGATTCACAGTAAGTAAAATCATTTGTTTTAATACCAAGAGCTTTTAAATGTCTCTGTAATACTAATTTTCAGATTTTTAAGAATAAGAGCTCAATGGTAAGTTATAGTTGAATTTTTATTACATATTTGAACATCAACAAAAACACATAAAAAGACTCAACCTCGAATGTAAACATTTTATGTACATTTGGGCCTAAGAAAAAGCTGTATAGAATGGCCACCATCAAACAACAAGAGCTGGCGAGGGTGTGGAGAAAAAGGGACTCTAGTGCACTGCTGGTGGGAATGCAGACTGGTGCAGCCACTATGGAAAACACTATAATGTTACCTCAAAAAATTAAATATTGAATTGTCATTTGAGCCAGTGATCCCACTCCTAGGAATATACCCTAAGAAGCCTGAAACACCAATCGGAAAGAATATATGTACCCCCATGTTCATAGCAGCACTATTTACAAAAGTTAAGATCCAGAAAGAGCCCAAGTGTCCATCAGTAGACGAATGGATAACAAAGCTGTAGTACATGTACACAATGGAGTACTATGCAGCTGTAAGAAAGAAAGATCTCTTATCCTTTGAGACGACATGCAGGGACATGGAGAGTATTATCCTAAGCAAAACAAGTCAAGCAGAGAAAGACAAATATTACATGATCTCACTTATTTGTGGAATATAATGAACATAACAGTCTGAGGAACAGGGTAGACCCAGAGACGTGGAAGCAGGGTACAGACTGACAACCCTCAGAAGAGGGGATGGTGGGGGGAGGGAAGAGATAAACCACAGAACTTATATGCATGTACGCATAACCGATGGACACACACAACAAAGCTGGGGACAGGGTGGGGAGCATGTGGTGGAGGGTGTCAATGGGAAAAAAAGGAGAAACATCTGTAACAAAAATAAATTAATAAAAATAAATAATTAATTAAAAAATTTTAAAAACTGGTTATGATAAAAATCAGAGACTTAGCCCTGGCCGGTTTGGCTCAACGGTTAGAGCGTCAGCCTGCGGTCCAAAGAGGCCTGGGTTTAGTTCCCACTAAGGGCGTGTGCCTTGGATGCAGTCTGTCCCCGGCCCTGGTTGGTCGTGCAGGTGGCAGCCACTTGATGTGTCCCTTTCGTGTCAATGTTTCTCTCTCTCTCTCTCTCTCTCCCTCCCACTCTATCTGAACAAAAAATGGAAAAATGTCCTCGGGTGAGGATAAAAAATAAATAATAAATAAAAATTAGGACATTTCAAAAATACTACATAGTACATACATTCTTGGAATTTTATTAATTTAAGTATCAGAATTTCCACCTGGTTTTCCCTATCCACGCTATTTCTGCCTGTATACCCACATTCAAACTCTATCTCCACTCCACAGGCATAGATAGCTCTAGTCAGCGCTGAGTCCAGTGTGGACTTTTAACAACGCCTCCATGATCTGGTCCTCCGGACATTAACAGCGTCTCCATCATCTGGTCCTCCGGACATTAACAACGCCTCCATCATCTGGTCCTCCGGACAGTAACAGCACCTCCATCATCTGGTCCTCCGGACATTAACAGCGCCTCCATGATCTGGTCCTCCGGACATTAACAGCGCCTCCATGATCTGGTCCTCCGGACATTAACAGCGCCTCCATGATCTGGTCCTCCGGACATTAACAGCATCTCCATCATCTGGTCCTCCGGACATCAACAGTGCCTCCATCATTTGTTTGGCCTTCATTGCTACTTTTCTCCAACAGCGAAGGACTACCAGAGATGGACCTGCTGACCCACTCCCATCTAGTTTAAGCCACAGGATCCCAATAGGACAGAAGACTTGCCCACCTTTGGGCTCCATCTTGTTGTATATCATGACGGTAATGCTTTCATAACCTTTCTCTCAAGGTTGGTCCCCAGAGTCTCCTAACATAGCTCACTTGATCCGGTGTTTAGTCCTCTCTGACTCTAGATTCAGACTGAGTAACTGCAAAATCAATGAGGTGGTGCCTCATTAACCTAGGACTCTGAGGTCTAAATTTCATGGACTATCTGATAACCTATCTAAAGAAAACCACTATAATATTAATAGAATTGGCAATCATTGTTTCATAGGACCAAAGTTGCCCTCTGAGTTGGAGACTGAATGGAGCTTGAATATTTGTATTTGATACTAAGTGACACCAGGATACATACCTTTGTGCTCCTCCCAGGCTTCTGATTAGTATTCTAAATGTGACAAAGTGCTCTTTTATCCCAATACCAACCAATTTTTTTTTGAGGTTAGGTCCGTTCTTGCTTTTGCAGAGTCTTTTTTAGCCAAAGAGACTATCAAGTGGGGGAGGGGGGAGACAGCAAAATGATTCATTTTCTATGTTCTTTTTTTTTTTTTTAATTCTCTCGAGTTTACCTGTGAAAAGCCAATATCAATTCTTTATAAAAGTGACTGAATTAAGAGATAAGAATGAAATATAATTCTTTTATAAACATAAGAGATATTCAACCTCAAATAAAATAACAGATTCAACCCCACAGTATGTACACTCCCAGTGAAGTTTCATGCGTCCCATTCTAAGTTTGTAGCACCCTAGATAACACACAGAATCAAAGGTGGAAATACGCCCAGAAGCAGCATCACAGTTCATTAACAGAATAAAGCAAAAAATGGCTAGGTAAATGAATATCACAACATAAAATGTACTGGTGATGAAACTGTAATAAAGTAATGTAAGTGGGGATTGACAGTATTTTTTACCAAGAAGTTCCCAGTTGCATTAAACTAATGCCACCCCCCAAAAACACCTAACCAACCACTCAAACAAAAGTCATCTTCTGTGACTATAAAATTGTGAAGACTTTATACTCCATGGCTCTCAGTCTTGCTGGTTTTCAGAGTAAGACATGAGCTGTATTAAGTAGCTTCACTGATTTCTCCATCTTGAATAACTGCCAGTTCGGGAACTTCATTCATCCTCAGAACCTCTGCATAGAGCAGATAATTATGTAGGCTTCTGGGAAGTGGCAACTGACAGATAAAACTGTCAGATCGTAGGTGTTCTGGTTTTAGACTGGACCGAATTTCCAAACGGCAAAGGTGGGTCAGGGATGGAACAGCAGCTGGAGGAACAAACCAAACAAGGAAAATGAAAATTTTTTAAACATGAAGATAAATGCCTTTTCTCCCATCTCTATGTAGTAAAAGAGAAGTGATAAGTTACTTAAAATTACTTTTGAAAGATGACTTGGGCCAAGATGACCACAATAAACTTTCGTTTTACAGCCTTCACTTGGTTCCTCTCCCTCCAGTCGCGGGCCACACATTCAAAGTCAATATTCAGTGCATATAAAATTAGATGTTCAAATTCTAAAGATCTGGCAATACCAGCTGGTACTTAAGAAATAGATGAACTAACCTTAGAAATGTTGGTTCATAGCAATAAATGTTACATCCCTCTTTACTCTGTTTCTTTGCAAGTGGTCTCTAGATCTACCACATTAAGTGACTAAATGTATAGCTTACAAAAGTTTTCTTTTGCCCTGGCTGGTGTGGCTAAGTGGTCAGAATGTTGGCCTGTGCACCAAAGGGTTGTGGGTTCGATTCCCAGTCAAGGGAACGTACCTAGGTTGTAGGTTGAATCCCTGGCCCCAGTTGGGATGCGTGCAAGAGGCAAGCAATCTATGTGTCTCTCTCACATTAATGTCTCTCTCTCTCTCTCTCTCCCCCTCCCTCCACTCTCTCTAAAAATTAATGGAAAAAATATCCTTGAGTATCAACAAAAAATAAAGCTTTCTTCTTCTTATCCATACCACAGAATGAAATTTCAAAACTGACAAACCAAGAGAAGTGCCTACCATGCCATATGCCCATACACTTCGCACACATTCTCTTTTCATCTTCATTACCTTATAGGATATATGTTACCATGCTATCCTATAACAGATTTAAAACGAGGTCTAAGTAACTTTCCAAAGGTCAAGTGCATCTGATCCCAAAGCATGTGTGTGTGAGTGCACACACACTAAAACCACTGCTGCCAAAAGCTAATTACCAACTAAAGGATAGTCCACAAGCACTTAAGAATCGTTCAATAGTAGTTTCATTTTCCATGACGAGAAGTGTTAACTAAAAAAGTTAATGTCCATGGAAACTGACAGTACTAAAAATAGCTAGTGGTTTTATGTGAATCAAAGTGTTTATATAACACTTTTATTAATCCAAGAAGTCTTGTATAAATCCCCATGAAATGTAATAGTGATTAACAGAGCAGTATCACAGCAACAAAGACAAATAGTATCAATGGCCCAACTGACACCAGAACAGCTGGTCTGACTCCAAGTCTAGGGTTCCTTAAACTGTAATACCCCATAGGGCCTGGGACATACTAATTCTCTAACATATTCCACACCTTCTAAACCACTGAAGTTTATCCAGCATCTTAAAATTTAGTTTAAGCATACTGGTTTAAGTTTAATTTAGTTTTATTCAGTCTGAGAAACACCTTATACCAGTGTTTCAAAATGCCAAATAAGAAAAGCAAAAGAATTATCTGATTTTGTACATAAAACCTGTGTCTAAAAAGAGTGCTTTCTTGCCCTGGCCAGTTTGGCTCAGCGGTTAGAGCGTCGGCCTGCGGTCCGGAGAGACCGGGGTTCGGTTCCCGCTAAGGGCACGTACTTCGGTTGCAGTTTGTCCCCGGCCCTGGTTGGTTGTGCGGGTGGCAGCCACTCGATGTGTCCCTTCACGTCAATGTTTCTCTCTCTCTCTCTCCCTCCCACTCTATCTGTACGAAAAATGGAAAAATATCCTCGGGTGAGGATAAAAAAAAATAATAATAAAAAAATAAAATAAAAAGAGTGCTTTCTTAAAACATGAGTCACAGACTCCCCATTATAAATAAGACTACAGCATCTATAATATATAGCACATTTATTTCCAGTGTTTTCATGTCCATATCTTGTTAAAATTTTACCTTCTTCTGTAAACTTAAGGAAGAATCATCATTCTCACTTCCAAGACGGGAAAACACGGGTTAAGGGAGCACTGGAGGGATTATGCCATGGCATAGCTGGATGGGACTGACAGAGGAATTGACAAGTGCATGGGTTGCAGGGGTGGGGGACTGTTTTCTGCCATGGGCCATTTGGATATTTATAACATCATTTGCTGACCATACAAAATTATCAACTTAAAAATTAGTCTGCTATAACCAACAGACACAGACAACAATACGGTGGGCGGGGGGGGGTAGGGGGGAGTGTGTCAAAAGGGGAAAAAGAGGGACATCTGTAATAAAAAATATTAATAAATTAAGTATTAAAACATTTTTAATACATATATTCTGCCATGTGGATATACCATAACCATCCTTTAAATTTGGAATTATACTTGTATTGTTCTTACAACATTTATCCTTATAAATAATGTTGTAATAAATATTTTTGAGCAAAAAAATAAATAAAATAAAAATAAAAATTAGCCTGCTATATTTGCTCAGGCTCCTTTGGGGAGGTGTGTGATGTTACCTGGTATTGATTTCAAGGGCCTTATCCAACCGCAGGCCGGACATTCCTAACCCTGATAACTAAGAGAATTTTTACTTATATTCAGTTGGAGTTTAATATGCACCTTGTTAAACCGACAGCCCTTCATTCTGCCCATTCTTGTTAATGTAGATCCTTACTACACACCCAGAACAAAGACAAAGGACGGCTGTGCTACCCAGAGGAGAGCGGCTCACTCAGGGATACGGGATCTTTAATGCTTCTCCAGCTTCTCCGATCTGACAGACCAGCTCACGTACAGACCCCCGCTGCCCCACAGCCTTCCACAGCGCTGGCAAGCCTTTCCAGGTCACCAGACTACACACGTCCCCACAGACCCACAGCACTGGCGCCCTATCTTTAAAGCTAAATAAACCATTTGTTTGTGCTAATACATGTGTAAAAGCTTAGTCATTTGGGATCAAACCAAATTGGCCCAGTACACATTGTTATGAGAAGTTTAAGTGACCAGCCCATGTTGACAATCAACATCTCTGATACCAGATCCAAGAGATCTGACTTCAAGTCTAAGGTTCTTTAAACTGTGACAAACACAAAATAGTTCTCTAACATCTTCTAAACACTGAAACTTTCAGAAGATCTTTCCACTTCATAATAATAAAAAGAAAAGAATGTAGCTATTTCAGATATTGGCTCCAACTTTAATTGCACCATTTTTAGCCCCCCCCCCCCCCCCATGAACACAAAGATCACTGGCCTGATGAACAATTAGAGGTAAGAACCATATTCATATGAATTGAAGAAGTCTTTCATCTGTAAATTATTAACACAGAAAATAATATAGCCATCAGTTCCATCTTAGTATATTATGCCAGTGAATACGGGAATTTTATAACCATACATGCAATATTTCAAAGTGTGCAAAATTCCTATGAAAGTTTTAGTGATGCATAGCATTTCCAGATGTGTTGCCACGAGGCTGAGAGAAGATTAAGCCATGCCCTGAATTCAGAGTATGAAAAGCCCAGAAGCTGTAAGTAAAACACACTTTCATGAAAATCTGTTAAAACCAGATTTCAATTTGTTAATAAATCTCTCTTTTCTTGCATTGTGGTACTGATCATAGCTTAGAAAATAATGCCTGAAATCATGCTATACTTTTAAGTTATTTTTCTGACCCAATCATTTTCAATTTAGTATGTTGAATCTAGTTTATTTACAGGTCTATTAGCAGACAAGAAAACTTTAACTTTTCAATTCTTACATAGAATTTTTCAATTTTGTTTCTTTTGTTGTATGTACTGACAGAACAATCCAAACAGGGTACTTTTATAAGAAGTTTTAATAAAATCAAAACAACGATAAAAATAAACCCCACAACTCTTAGTTCAGCTTTCGGCAGCCCGGAACGGCACGTCCCCACACACCCACTGTATTTCCACAGCCATGCGTTGCGAGCCTGCCTTCTTGCCGATATTCAAATGATCTAGCTCAACTGTCCTATGTGGTTTCTATGCATGGCTTTCCACATCAAATGTATTCATTTGACTTCTGGGCTTCTACTGAATTTATATTTTCATCATTAATAAACTGTCTTTCTGACTGGCTTCCATCCTTTTGTTCCCAACCTTTCTTAGTTTACTTGTACAGTCTCTCTCTCCAACTGATTACAACTAGAAACTCTAGACAAAACACAAAAAAGCAACTACCTGAGGACTCTAAAAAATAAATAACAGACATATTAGAGAAGGAACTCAAAATCTGAAGAATGGCTCAGTGGTTGAGTGTCAACCCATGCACCAAGAAGTTGCCCATTCGATTCCCGGTCAGGGCACACGCCCAGGTTACTGGCTTGATCCCCAGTAGGGGACATGCAGGAGATAGCCGATCGATGTTTCTATTTCTCCCTCTCCCTTCCTATCTCTCTAAAAAAAAATCAATAAAAACATAAATTTAAAAAAAAAGAACATGTTTCCCCAATAGCATGTGACTTCGTCTTTTCACTATTGAATTAAAAAATCTTAAAAACAGTTCTAAGTACTTATTTTATGCTTAATTTTGTAAAAATTACAAATTGAGCATAATATGACTTAAATATTGACGAAAAAAAAGTCACAGAGTTTGTCTTTATGTTTTAGAATGCTTAGAGTATCTTGCAGATAATTTTTTTCATTTCCTAATATCTCAAGGCACACTACACCCTAAGGTTAAGGCTTACTATTAACACTAATAAAAAACCATATTTTAAATACTTTTCTTGATATTTCTGAACTTCTTGTGAGTTCAGATTAGTTGATCGTCATTTCTATCACATAACGTGGCTACCTGATAAAGAACAGGGGTGCAGATCTACAACTATTTTCTTGGTTCAGTTGTACTTGTACCTTTAGTACTATCCACATAAAACACTGTTTCTTTGCAGAAATATTTTAAGCCACTTAGCCAATTTTGAAGATAAAACTGGTGATACAATCATAGGTCCACTGAACTACATACAAGACACTATGTAAAACCATCTAGCATAAGCATTTCCTGTGATTAGAAAATTAAAGAATGAATCATGGTCTCATAATGTCTCAGAAAATAAAAACCCATTTTTCATTTCCCTAACTTGT